CCACAAATGTTCTGCCTAATTGGTGAGCTGGATTTTCCTCCTCGACTGCATTCCAACACTCGTGTCGACTATTGTGCCAGCTCTCAGAGAAACAAGAGTGGCTTCCTTTTACAAAATGCAGAACACAGATGCTAATGCAACACATATTAAAAAAAAGACTCAAAGTTAAAGATTTTTATGGCCTTTTTAGTCGAGCTTTACTGAGTTTGCTCTTTAAGTCATAAAAACAGAGCAGAAAAGGTTCATTCTGGTGTCTGATGAAGTTTAGATTTCAAAATAATTTTACACAAATTGCAGGTTCATTGAAGAATACTTTTAATCAGTGTTATTAATCCTGTTATAATATAAAAAAGTAGCCAGGAGTTTCAGTGGTTTGTTTGGAGGCTGAATCACACCCAGACTAACGACAACAAGTTAAAAACCTGATGCAAGATATCGGCCCATCTACCTGTGGATTCTCTCAAAGCACCTTTAAAAACACAAAACGAATAAAGAGCGTATTCAGATTTATAATGTGGCAAATTAAATGTAATTTAAGTTTGAATCAATATGAAAAAATAGTTGAATTTTACAAGTTTTTACCTTTCAGATAGAGTAATACCAGAATCTTTGACTGCATGAAACCAGGAAATCCTGCTATAAATAAAAACGCTTTCTGCTCGGGATTGTTGTTAATCCAGACTATAGATAGTGAGTAGTTTATTAATCTAAACAACATGGTTCTTTAAAATGCATCTGGCTACACTTGTTATTTAACAATATTAACGTTACAGACCCAAAACGTGTAAATGGCATCTGAAAAGTTACATAAAACATATCGTGGCACAAAGAGCGTGGACTTATGGTACTTACATAACCAGGCAATATTTAATACAAAACAAACAGTTATTTGTTATATTTATTATGTGTACAAAGGAACTGAAGTCACAATAAATTTGCAATATGTAATGCAGCTGCAGTGGAAACTAATTACCCAGAAACTTTAAACAAACATTTGCTAATTTATTGCGAGGGAACGTAAAACGTTTGCATGATAACGCAAAAGAAAGTTTTTCCCATGTCCCCTAGGGGGCTCCATACCAAGTAATCCTGTAAAAAAATAACAACAGAAATTGATTAAAATTTAGAGTTTGCTTTATCTGTAAGGTTAACTTTAAGTATTTCAGCTGCAAAAAACTTTAAAATCCAACTTTAGAAATTTGTCATCTTAACTTGTTAGAAAATAAAAAAGTTTTTTCAATTTAACATTATGACAACTTTTAAATTGAATATTTTCTCAGCATGTTATTTGGAGGAATATTACATGGAAAGACATACATTTAAAATAATTGTGATTTTGCCCGGAAAAGAAACAAAAAGCTTAAGTTGGTAAATATGTGAAATTCGCTGCAAAACCAGATACTTATTTTTTATTTTTGTTTTCCCTTTTTACAGAAAAATAGTATGGCTGCAAAAATGATGAATAATAATAATTATTCTCTTATCTCTCAAAAGCTCCTCGTTCATTTTTATGCAATAGATTCACATAAAAAAGAACAACTGAGGTTTTTTAAATCAAATGAAGGGTTTTAGATTGCCAACCAATCATTTTGTTTCTGAACTGATTTATTTTAAACCAAATTGTTATTTCTACTCTGCTGAGAACAAATCCTAAAAAATGATAATAATAATAATAATAATAATAATAATAATAATAATAATAATAATAATAATAATAATAATAATTTTAAAAAATAAAGTAAATCCACCAAATATTTTTTCAAGATTCATTGTTAAGGAAAAAATTCTTTAAAAAAATAAACAAAAAATTTTTCTGTATTGATTCAAAGTTTAAATAACAATTTGTCAGATTATAAATCAAGATATGCTCTTTAATCAGATAAATAGACAATAAATCCAAAACAAAATGGGAATGATGGATTCCATTGTGAAGTGTCTGTGTTTAAAAGCAACATTACATTTTCATGTCATCTCATTCGAATGCATAAAAATCACTGAGTGTAATGGCATAAAAATAGCACAGCAGTGAGGTTAAAATATACCAGAGGAGGCCTCAGCTATTAATCTAGTAACACCCATCAGTTTTAAGTCGACCAGCCCAGAAAGGTGAGAGAGCCTGACTGCTCAGTGGCAGCAGGGGGAGTGAGAAGTGATCAATACGGCGGTGATGGCTGTTTCTGTGGAGAATCGGTGATATTTTATGCCAATTAGCGGGTGACAGTGGGCTGCTCTGATGAACGATGGGCCCCATAACTGGTGCAGCCAGCGCGGTGCTGGAGGGAGCTGAATCAGCAGACTGGAACATGCAGTGAAACTAATCTGCTTTGTGAGAGACGGCAGGAGAGGAGAGAGGAGATTACTCTCATTTAGACAGGAGAGGAGCACCTGGTGCCAGGAGAGACGCAGGTGTTCGTCCTGCTGCCTGCGCTGCAGCCCCCCTCCAGACATTAGAGCGCACACACACACACACACACACCAGCAGCACTCAGGCTGCACAAAGCTCGGGCGTTGCCTTGACTACAGACCTCAGCCTCATGCTGAACCAGTGGCACTTTGTCACAATGCCACTCTCTTCTCTGTGCCAGGACCTTTCCTCGTCAGGGAGAGCAACGTTTTAAGACTCCGCTCCGCCACTTTCCTCTGTTTTTTATTTATGACTCTGTCACAACTTTTGAATTCACACCAAGAGGAGTATGTGACGACGCTAAATCTCTGAACTTCAGTTATTTAAGGCGAGAAACCCCAAATAAAACGTCCATGTTTTTATAAAAGCACTGTTTCTTACAGCTGCAGTAACTTTTATAAAAACATTTCTTTACATATTAGCTGAAACTGTCGGCATGTCATGACAGTAACAAAATCAAGCTGCTCTTTCTTCTCCCAGTGCCAACTAGAAACAGCCAATCAGAGCCAGGAGGCGGGTCTTAGCGCTGTCAATCACCCTACAGGTGGCGCTGTTCGTCTCCCCTCCAGTTTCCTGCCTCTGCTCTGTGCTACGCTGCAGCTGGCATAGCCGCTGGTGGTTTTCCTGTTGTTTCTCCACCGTTAGCACATTTAGCAGCGAGTACATGAGGATAATTGGCAGCGCCAAGACCCTCCTCCTGGCTCTGATTGGTTGTTTCTGACAGTGCATTTCTTCAGACAGCGATAGTAGCTCAGGGAGGAGGTGATGGACATCGACCTTTTTACAGATTATCTGTCTCAAACTTTACAGTGACAGTTTTAACTAAAATGTACATACGGCAGCTTTAATAAAAGCAACATAATAAAAATCTCCAGGTACAAATTCCTCTAAGGAGACATGCTGAAAGCGTGTTCACTTCGTCTAAACCAAACTCCGCAACGCCTCCGTCAGCAGCTTCATCATAAAGGAAGGAGCAGCGGAGAGCTTCTCAACAACCTGCTTGTTCTCAGACTGATGTTTCTCGGTGCCATTTCCAACTGAACTCTGCAATCTGAAAACCTGAGAAGTTTGGCAGCTTTAGTATTCTGGCTCAGGCGCCGCAGTAAGAAGGGCCTTTTTGTGACGGATGCATGAAAACCGGAGCTGGCTGGCCGGACTCCAACATGACCGATTATAAAAGATCAACTTACAGAGCGAAAAACCTGCAGAACCTCAAGCAGAAACTATGAACGGTGGGTTGTGGACATGGAGACGCAGACAGGTGAGAGACAGACTCACTGAGGACATATTGGGGACACATGAAGTTTTCTTAGTGGCTGAAATAATGATGTTAGAAGTGGAGGACAAAGCAACAGGAGATCATTTACAGACAGAGATGGAACAGCGACACGTCTCAGTGAAGACGGACAAGGTCTCCCTGAGACAGGTGAGCACTGATAATGAGTGTGTGTGTGTGTGTGTGTGTGTACCTGCTCCCTCCCTCGGTCTATCCTGTCCATCAGCTGGTCTCCACTTTGACGCTCCTCCTCCAGGTCCAGCTCCAGCTGAGCAATCCTGTTCTGCAAATGAGAGACGATGCATCTGCGCTGTGAGTTTGTGACGTTCTCGCTGAAAACCTTCGTCAGTCACAGCGGCTGATCTCAGAGATCGCAGAGAAATAACACGGCGTAAAGTTCACAGGTAAAAATTAAATGATGTAGAGCAGGAGTCTGCAACCTGTGGATCCAGAGCCACAGCGGATAAAAACCCGACAAACGCACTAAATAATGTTTTTAAAAGCATATAAACAGGCCACTGCTCTGAACCCCATTGGTTTCTCCACCTAATATTGATTTCTCAACTCTTTCTGAATTAAAACATTAGCATCGTTGTTTCTAAATGAATATAAACTTATTTTCTTTGCATTATTTAAGAGCTGAAAGCACTGCATCTTTTTCATTATTTTCTTCAAATAAATGCTAAATTTTTGCTTGTAATTTCAGAGATGCTGTCAGTAGTTCTTAGAATAAAAGAACAATGTTCATTTTACTCAAACGTTTACCTATAGAGAGTAAAATCAGAGAAACTGATCATTTTAAATGGTTTCTTAATTTTTTGCAGCACTGCATGTAACATATAGATTATTTTTAGATTAACATATTTGCATGTGCAGTCGATTTTTCTCAACTTTATCTGTAATGACTATATTTACATTATTAATATTTAACACCTCAGATGGAGCAGCTTGCCAATGAATTAGTAATTTAACTTGGGGATAAATAAAATATATTCTATTCTATTGTAATAAATGCATGTTTTAGAAGTTATTCCAGTTTTTTCAAGGGATATTTACATTGAACTACAACAAGATGACTCTAAAAGTAGCTGTTATCCATTTTGTTTGCCTTTTTTAGTCATTTTCTTTTTTTAGGTTCTAAATGAATGTTGTTTAGCTGGACTGAGGGTAAAACCGTCTCTTTGGGTAGTAAAGGTTGCAGATCATTACCTCCATCAGCTTCATCTGTCTGGACTTGTCATCCTTGGTCTGCTTGTTTTTCTCAGCCTCCATCTCCAGATCATGAACCTTTCTCTCCAGCGTCTGCTCCTTGAGAACAGCTTCGTCTCTTTCCGTCTTACAACGTCGCAGCTCGTCCTCCCGCAGAGACAACTGGAAACAGAAATAAAGATTGTTCCAGATGTCCAATCGGACCAAAGCTACAGAACAGTGACTTCATCTTAACGTTAATTAGCAGCAGCTAGTGATTTACACGAAACGCCCAGACAGCGTTCACTAGCTAATTCAAATGTAGCAGAATTACCTGTTCGTTTAGAAGATAAAATTTAAAAAAGATTCAGATAGATTATCTGTGCAAAGATCACAGGTGGAGTTCCTCAGGGTTGCTTCAACACTCCCTCAGATTATTAAAGATTTCATGCATTATGACGCAGTGATGACTCGCAACTTTATACTGTTGTGTCACCAACTGACCATCACTTCTGGAAAATACTCCGAAAATCTCCGAGTGAAAGAATAACTCCTATTTCTGTCTCTGAAGTTGTTATTTTTGGTCAGTGGGTGTAATTATGGCCACATCCTTAAAAATCCACAAAGTTTATTAATAAATCTGGTAACACTTTATTTGAAGGGGGGTGAATAAGACTGACATGACACTGTCATAAACATGACATAACACCTGTCATGAACATGAATAAGCCTTCATGAATATTTATGACTGTTGTCATAAAGCGTCATTCGGTAAATTATGACACTTTTAATACAAAGTTGACATTATTCAAAATGTCTTTGTTATGACAACTTGACATTAACCAGGAAATCATTACTGTTTAAACTTTACCTTTAATAACATAAATTTACCTGATTTTTAAAGTGCAATCAGTAATACTTTTATAACAAATTTATATCAGTAATGATTTCCTGGTTAATGTCAAGTTGTCATAACAAAGACATTTAGAATATTGTCAACTTTGTATTAAAAGTGTCATAATTTACCGAATGACACTTTATGACAACAGTCATAAATATTCATGAAGGCTTTTTCATGTTCATGACAGGAGTTTATGACAGTGTCATGTCAGTCTTATTCAACCCCCTTCAAATAAAGTGTTACCATAAATCTTCCTCCTGTGAGCTTAAATACATTTACTGGATTTCCGCAACAAAACAAAACAAAAATAAGAGGCAGCTCATCCAACATGCTGCCGCCAAAGCTCTGACCAACACCAGGATTATTGTCTTTAACCTCCTGAGTCCTAAGTTTGCTTATTTTAATTGTTCACAGTTCTTTAAATGTCCTGTGAGTAAATATATAGTTGCACATTTATCCATAACAACTGGAACTTTCAATATCTAGCAAGTTATTTTAGCAATTTACCGTCTATTAAAAGAGTCTTATCAGATTAATTTCACTCCCCGTTAGGCGGGGTTAAATTACCGTAATAACCCGATATTGGCTGGAAAGCGCAACGTCTCTCCTTTCAGAAACCGTTGGGATTTTTCAGACAGTTGCTACAATAAACAATCATTTAAACTTCAGTGGAATAATTTCAAGGCTCCCCTGTGTGACCATTAAATCCATAAGACCTAATTATCATTTTCCTTCAGCAGTAAAAAGCCCCAACCCCACTGCTTGCTGCCCAAGAGAAATTCATCATTTACCCCAACATTTTTACAGGTTATTATACGTTTTGTTCCATGCACATATCAAGATAACTCCAAAAATGATGAGTTTTTACTCTTAAATCTCCATTCATCGTCCTAAACCTGCAGTGTTTCTGACAGTTTTAGTGATGACCTGCCTGGTAAATGTAGGAGTAAACTAGACGAACATCTGAAATCAGCTCATCCAGACTGGACCAGTCATCGGCTCCTCAGCAGTGGAGGAGGATGTGAACGAGCCAGCACAGCGATCTGCTCGGACAGACATCCTCCTCTTCCTGAACGCCAGCTGAACAAAGATTCATCAGCAGGGATGCAGGCAGGAAGAACATGCACACTGACCCATTTGCTCTTTGCACTCTATGCAGATGAAACCTCATCTGAGAAAAATCTGGAGCAGTCAGAAAGGGAGTGGTGGCGGTCTGCTTTTACAGCAGAATGTGCAACTGGAAGAAGAAAACACTGAGGAAATCTGCAAAGCCAGAACATTTTGTGTTCAATGAAGCCTTTTAAGCCTGAAATGACTGCAGAACCTGCAAAACCTCCGTCTTTAAACGACATCCAGCTGAGCTTTTATTGTTTTGTTTACAAAGTTAGTCATAGAACATATAAATAATGTTTTTCTCCGTCCCATAAAGCTCTTTAAAAGCCCCATCAAATGCATGTTTACAAATGGGAAAAACTGCAGCAGGAAATATAAAACCTTTAACTAAGACTTAAAATAAAGCTGTATGTTTTTCAAGTGGTTATATAACACAGAAGTTATGACTTGTTTTGCATTTGAAACATTAATTTTACACACAGTTCTGGCTTCACTTTGCAGTGTGGCATAAAACCATAAAAACTGTCAACCGCTCGGCCTTCGGTAAATGTTTGGTGTATGAATAAAGCCGTACTTCATGTTAAACATAAACAATAACGTTCACCTAATCCGGTTTCCAACAAAAAAAAAAAAAAAAACATTCTCCACATTCCATAATGCTGACTAGAAAAGAGTTTCTGACCGTTAATAACGCGTAGGTCATGTGTTAACTTTTATGTTTTTCACCTTTATCTAACAATCAGTGGGATATAAAAGAGAGAACAATGTCTTTCTTTTAGCTGAAAAAGTCGAGTCAAGCATTCATAAAGAACAGCCTGTGCTCCAGCCGTTCACTTTAAGACCATGTTTGAGGCTGCAGAGGGCAGGGGGAGGCAGAAATACCTAGAAGGTGACATCACTGCCTTAACAGAGGCCGTGATGTTGAAGGAGGAGAGATTGCGAAGCTGCTCTGCATGAGCTGGTCTGACTAATGATGACCTACATCTGACCATCATCTTATCGTAAAAGCAGGGATCGCACCGTCCTTCAGCTTTACCTCCTCTTGCAGGTTTCTGGTGGTCAGCACCAGCTTCTCCAGCTCCTGTCCTTTCTCCTTCAGGTGCCGCTGCAGCTCTGCCAGCTCCCGCCGGTTCTTCTCCTTATAAATATCGATCTGCTCCTGCAGCTCTCGAGTGGACGACTGAGACGCCTCGACGATATCGCTCATCTGCAGGCCCGGGGATGCAGGAGGAAGCAGCAGCAGAAAGTGTGGAGAAATTAAATATGTGTGGAGAAATTACAACGCTCTGCAAAACTGTTCATGCCTTTTGATTAGTTTTTCCATTTTGTGACATTACAACCAAACTGCAACTAACAATTCATTGATTAGTCTGGCACCTTTTGCAGATTTTTCAATCAACCATTTAAAATATGCAAATGAACCAACAATTCAATTCCTTAAACAAGAAAATAAACATTTTACTGCCTAAAATGAATTTCTTTAGTGAATTTGGACCAAGTGAAGCTAAAGCTATGCTACTTTAAAAGTTTTGGGTGAAACATATTTACAGACAAATGTGTTTTTATCTTCGATGCAAAACTTAAATGCAACGTTTTGTCTTAACATTTGCTCTGATAGTGTTGTTCTTTCAGTAAGTGGTTTTTATTGAGTCTGCACACTCCTGTTAATAATTAATCAATTACTTAATTAGATGACGATTATTTCAACAATCGATTATTCCAATTAATATTTTGAGACCTAAACCAAACCAAATAGATGCTCAAAGCAGACGGAGACAAACACCAGAAAGGTGGTCTGACGATGTATTGAACACAACAATTTTATACGTTTTTATTCACCAAAAATTTGAAAACAGAATTTTTTTCTCCCTTCCACTTCACTATTTTGTGTGAATCTATCAAATAAAATTATTGTAAGTGTGATGCTTACTTAAAAAACATGCTATTTTGAATACAGAAGTATCAAAGGGTATCAAATTTTTGGTTAAAAATAAAAACAAAACTGTGTTTTGTTGGAATAGTTTAAATATTTTCCATTATCTTAGTTTCTCCTCCCATTAAGACCTAAAGTACCTCGTATACTTACCGTTTCTCCATCTTTTGAACAAAAATCCAATTAACTAACGTGGATCTTAATTTCATTTGACTAAAAGTTTAACGACGGCTAACCTGAGGTTGACCATGTGAGATAAGCTCCTTCTCATGCTTACATGTCTGCTCTCATTAAAGCATGAAGTGCCCTCACCTCCCTCTGCAGTTTTTCCACTGTCCGGTCCAGCACACGTCTCTCGTCTTCAATGTTGTTCTTCATATTTTTAAATTGCTCCTTCTGAGACTTTTCCTCCTGTAGCCGGTCCTCCAGGTCCTTGTTCTCAAGGTCTAGTTTGGCCAGGTTCTTCTACAAGTAAAAGAAGTAAAAGGAAAAGTGATGAACTGAACATTTATCTACCTAAAACCTCAAGCTGTGTCACCAGTCTTAGGGTGTTTTCACACCTGATAATTCAGTTGACTCCGTTTGATTGGGGACCAAAACAGCAACACTTGTAACATTTTCATCTGATTTGGTTCTCTTTCACACTGCATTGTGTCAAATGATCCAAACTCTTTAAATAACCTGTTCCCCTCCTCGCCTGTGGTGGCGCTGCACCAAGATCCACAGAAGGAAATGACACAAAAACCTCAGAAGAGGACATGAGTGCCACTTCCTTCTTCACAAAAGACAAAAATGGAGTGGCCTCAGATTTTAGTGTAGGATGTCTTTTTTGTCTTTGGTAAAAGTCTACAATCTATTTCTCCCTCCAGCGCTACACTCTTGTGTTTGCTTAGGTTGTATTTACCCAGAATGCCCTGTTTTTGTAGTGGCCTCTGATTTGCTTGCCTCCGCAAGTGCATTCAAACTGCGCCAGAGATCACTTTAACTGAATCGAGACGTCAGGTTTTAGGCGGACCAGAGTTCATAGGAGTTTGATTGAAGTGGACCAAGCAGGACTGGTGTGAATGCCTTCTTACCTGCACATCTTCCAGTCGGATGTTCAACATTCGGTTGGCACGAGACATCTCCTCCTCCTGCTCCCTGATCTCAGCCAGAGACTCTTCCAACTGCCTTTTCTCTCTCTGTTTTTGCACGTTACACCGTTAAAACATTTATATTAGTTACTGAATAGGTAGATCAGAAACCAGATTCGACTTGTACTGAGTCTTCGCACCTCCAGGCGGCCAGCTTTGTCTCCTAGTCTGCTCTCCAGCAGCTTGGCCTCGTCGATGATCCTGTTGAGTTTAGCCACCTCATTTTCCAGCTCGTTCGTCCGCCTGCGCAGTCGCTCGATCTCCTGGTTCAGTCGCCCGGCCTGGCCCTCCGCTTGTCCTTTGGCTGCCTCCACCTCGGCCTTCTCTCGGATCGCTGCTGCGCTGTTCTGCAGAAGGCGAAGAGGAAAGGCGCTTCAGTTCAAAGGAATCATGAGTGTGTGACTCTCAGACGGAAAGCAGAGCTACGATGCATGAAGAAGCAACTCAAATGCCTCGTAACAAAAGGTATTTGTCGAGCTCACTTTCTCTCCGCAGCTGGTGGGACGCTGAAGGACAGAGCCTTCCTGTAAGTCTCTCACACTTCACAATAAGCCATGACTGAAGGCTGCAAAGTGAGGATTTATTGCTGCCTGATGACTGACAGCCACTAAAAGTCAGAAGAGGGTGACAATGTGGCAGCCAATAAACTCTAAGTACTTGTGATTAAAAGGTGCTAAACACAACTTGTGACAGGAAAGTAAGCAATGTACATTTAAAGATGGAAACATCTTGGGTAATAGTTGTATTTGGATGTTTAGGCAGCTGCGTCACTCATTTTATGCTTTCAATGATTCATCTAATCTGTTTTTTCTCCTCCAGGGTAAAAAGTCTGGACAATAAATCAATAACATATAGTGGGACAGACACATGATCAATATCAATAGATAACACGTCTGATAGAATATTCAACCTCTTGTTGAATCTCTCACAGCGAGCTAAGCCAGGTTGGTGGAATCAGCTACTCACTCTTTGGTTACCTAGCAACTCACTCACTCTTTGGTTACCTAGCAACTCACTCACTCTTTGGTTACCTAGCAACAACTTGTTGAGTAGCTGCCGCAGCAGCAGTTTAATTTTTTCTCCACAGAGCTTCAAAGCTGCTTCAAAATAAACAGAGTGGAGTAAAAACTATGGGTAAAACAGGAAAGGTCACAGTATTTCAGACATTTAAAACAGTAAACTAATCAATAATTATCCATAGAAACAATTATTGATATTGACTGATATGAAATTAATATCCTGATTAGTTTTTCAGCTTTATTGTCAAGACTTAGGGTAAAATAAACATTTTAAAAACAAGAATTACCCAAAAAGTTGGAATTTACCACAGATTTTCTCCAAAAGTAAATTAAACTTTTACATACTAATATACACACTTTACCTGAACAGCACACAAAGTTTCGTGGTTGAGGTCTAGGCCATGGACAGCCATCATAGATTATGGATTACACTTAAATATATGGGTAGAAGACAACAAACTTACATCAACTATATCAATTATGTTAAGACCTTGTTGAAGGATTATTACTTGCTAATAGCAATCAGATGTTTAGATATTTTTATCTACATACTACATGACTACCGGTAATAATTTGAATTTGAATGCTTAAGTTGTTGTAGATCGTATCCATTGTGGATTCACCAGTAACACACGACCTCAAATATGTAAAAATACGGCCACTAAAGGATAAAAGGCAACTGTACGTATTTATGGAAAATGCAGTAGCTAAAGTTAAAAAAAGAAAGATCAGAGAAGTGAAACAAAGAGATGACTCCCTTATCGACGTCACCGAGGAACAAGCTTTCAAATGTTTGTTTTCTGTGGCGAGGAATGTCAGATAACTGGTTTGACAGCTCCCTGTCATTTCAGTGTGGTTAGTACACACCTGCATAACTAAAACTACAGATAAAAACAGTAAAAATCTATTGCTATCGTTTCACACCTTCAACATTAGCTTCTGCAGAGTAAAATGTTTTAGCGCTTGAGGCCTTCTTTGTGTACAGGGAGGCCCCTCTTTGTTGTGCTGCTCATGCAGATCGTCACTGAACGTGTGTGTGACCGAACACACACACACACACACACACACACACACACACACACACACACGCCTTCTGCTGTCAGCTGTTCTTAAACAGGTGACACAACTTTATATTAGCAAAAAGACTAACAACATTGCTAGAAAATAGTGAATCACACAAAAGTCTTCCAGCTAAATTATATTTAATGTGTTTTATCTAAAATGTCTTTGTGCAACTTGCACTTTATGAAACTTTATATCCAAAATCTGAGCTAATCTGATAAAGTTACAGCTGCTGTGACACCATCTTATCGTGACAGCTTTCCTTTATTTCCTTATCTGTGACAGGTGTTAAAAAAAAGAAGCAATGGCCAGTTCATCTTGTTTTTGTTCTGCAGGAGCAGGGAAACATTCTAGAGGAAGAAAAGTTGGCGGACGCCTCCCTGCTTCAGTGCGACCAGGCCAGTCAGACCAGTTCCAGCAGTGGCTCCAGAGCCGCCCTCATCACTGCTTCTTTGATTTAAAGAGGTGACAACATCCCCGGCCCAACATGTATCAGTTTCATGTCTTTGGATCATCAAATAAGAATTTATGTTAGGCAGAAACAAAATGAGGCCTTCGTATGACATACATATAGTTTCTGTCATTTTTATGTTCCAACAACTTCCTTCAAGGTTACCATTACAAAAAGCATTTGCTCCTTTCAGACTTATGTTTTTGTTTCTTTGTCAAACTTAAATATTTTAGATGATCAAACTAATCTTAATATCAGACAAAGATAAACTGAGAAAAATACAAAATGAAGTTTTAAATTTTTTAAGGCAAATCAAGCCTGACTCATTGTGAAAGTAGGACTGGACACTAAATCTATAAAAACATATATATCGCAATAGACATGATCAATATCAATAGATAATATGTCTGATTGAATTTTCAATAATTTAACCAAACTTTGATCCAGAACCGCTCAGCATTCTGGGAGATATAGGCAGAGGAAAGGCTTTAGCTGCCCGGCCAGCTAAGCAAGATGAGTAGAATCAACTAATTCAATCACTCTTTTGTTACCTAGCAACTCACTGACTTTTTGGTTGCCTAGCAACAACCTGTTGAGTGACTGGCACTGCAGCAGTTTAAGGTTTCACCACTGTGCCTCAAAGCTGCTTATAAATAAAAACAAGTCCGTGGAGTTGAACAGCTCAAGAGGAAATTGTGGCTAAAAGAGGAAAGATCATGTTACCAATTTGGGATTATTTCAGATGTTTAAAAAACAAAAAACGAAATACTTATCAGTATCAACTACTGATGTGAAACCATTATGCAGTGATACATTTTTCAGTCGTATTATCATACTGCGCAAGTAAAGTTTGAATCACTTAAAAACAGAACCTGTCTGACAACATGAAGGGATCTCAAAAAGAAACACATAATGTCCTGACTTAAAGAAATTCAGGGGCAGATGAAAACCAAAGCTTTTGTTACCTGCAATGGGCAACAAAGTCCTTGATAATAATTTGGAATTTCAGCGAACTGCAATCAGAATTATTATCCAGAAATGGAGAAAACATAAATCAGTGGAGAGCAGTGAGATTATCATCACAAAACTGAAAGTCGTCTAAAGCCACGCAGGCCTCACTTCAGTAAAGAATTTCCAGATAGAAGAAAACTGACAACTCATATATTCACAAAGGTTATCTTTGCCAGATATTATGATTAACATGTAAATAAAAACTGCAGAAATCTTTAATAGAGTACGTATTTGTTCACAGCAGTGACTTTAGGAAATATCTGCACCAAGCTGCCGTTTTGTCCCCTTCAAATCTCTTTGGCTCGTTTCAGAATTATGCTGATTGCCATAATTGAGGTGAAGCTAAAAATAAACAAAGGGGGTAAGAGAGTATGAGGAGATTAACACAGTGTTCATTGAAATAACAAAAGCACTGAACAACAACAGACAGGGCACCAGAGCAAACCCAGTACTTTCTTTCTGCCTGTCCCACTTCCCACATTAGCCTGCATGTGTTTAAACTATGAACAAGGACGGTGCTGCTGCTCTGTGACAGGAAGCAGGATGGAGATGAAATAACATTAACCTCCTTTGTTTTCAGACTCTCCCTGGCAATGTTATTTTTAATTTGAGTCAGTGCAGCAGGCCTGTAAGATAATCAGGTTTATTTCTAACTAAAACGTAACTACTTGAATGAAAAGATCCACTTTCTATCCAAGAAAACACTTTACATTTTTTACTTATCTTTCAAATAACAATACTAAAGCTTAGTCAAAGTAACTAGAAGATGAGAAATTAACATTCAGCTAAACATGACTTAGTATTACAGATTGATTCCTTTATAATTATGCGTCACAGTCACTGTGAACATGAGTTGATGCTGATCTATTTTCTCCATTTTCTACCCTAAACTCTGAGTTTGACTTGGGTCTCTGTGTGTACTCAAACTGTTTATTCAAAGTTGCACATTAACTAACTTTGTGCAGTCTTTGAAGCGCAGAGCAAACGTCGAGGTGAAGTGCATGTTCCAGGTCGTGTGCTGCGCTCACATCGCCACCCTTTCTTCTGGACTGACCGGCCTCTTTTCTTTTCAAAAAGCAAAGGATTGAGTTTCAAAATCACAATGGAAACTGATTTGCAGATAAACTGACCCTGATGTATAAATAACATCTACAAACCAGGCCAACAGAATCAGTTTATAGTTCAGTGAAGCTGCAGAGCAATAAATTAGGGCTGTGCACCGTTAGAAAAGAAAAGGTAATATTATTGTTTCATATTAATATAACTTCCAACATAACCCACAATGTTTTCACCATTTCCCCTGAGCCTTCTGATCTTAGGCTTCCTGATCTTACTCCAAATACCTCACTGTCATGGCGCTCAGACGGAAATATTTAATAAAAATGTTATACATAATCCACTTTTTTTAAACATGTTTAAAATTGCTTACTAGTGTGAATTAGATTTTGATACACAAACAAGAAAAAGTCGAGAATAAACACCCACTAAAGGTAGTTTAATAGATAAATATTACTGTTTCTGCCATTTTGGAAAGGTATTAAGAAACTTATATGGGAAAAGTGTAGCACTATTTTAGCCAGCTGACTGGCAGGTTTCAGCAATAAATGGGGGACGGACAAAACTGTACTACTCTATGCCCTAAACAACCAAAAAAGAAAAAAGTCAGTTCAGTCTTGCATATTATTAAAAACACTAACTATTTAGGGATAGAATATAAGCGTGTCACCATGAAAAGTAATCCAGTTAATTGCATGATAAATGAAAACGAGCTCAATAGTTTCCATTTGGATGATTGTTTTTCTCTTTCTACCAAACACTGGACAACAAAG